GTTTCTTTCTGTCCTGATTTCTTATGCTTAGGTTATTTCTTTTTAAAATCCAGTCTGTCTTGCTCTGTGATGTCAGTCTTACTAGAAGTAGAACAAGTCCATAGTAGGGAGAAATATAAATGGTGCACTGTATTTCTCCAAGTCTAACTGTACAGGCTCTTGGAAACTTCCCTAGCTCTAAAAAATCGGGGGGAAAGACTCTGGAGAAAAAGACAAGGCAGGGACGTTCCTGGGAATTGATGAGGTTTTGGCTTCCTTCTCCTGTACCAAAACCAAGCCTTAAGTCATGTATGTCCCATGTGGACTGACAGCCTAAGCAAACACAAAAAAGATGATATACCATCAGTGGTGGATGAACTAAATCCAGGTTGCCATTACAGTAGTTTGCTTGTTTTCAATCTTCAAGGCCTAAGGAAGCTTTCCTGGCAGAGCATATATAAGCAGTGCTGGCTGCTCCAAGCAGTGCCCAGCTGCATGCTACCACAGAGTGATGTAGAATGTCTATGGCCCTACACAGATGGAGCAGGAACTGTAGTTGAGCCTCTAGAAGGTTCCCTAGTCTTTCTGCTGTGTAACTAGTCTGTAGAGGTCTTCCTTGGACATGTGATGGTTAAAAAAGACTATGTATGAAACAGAGGAGAGTTACAGGTTTTTAATTTGATATTTTTCAGATGGCTGAGGTGGTACCCTTTTAAGAATGTCAACAGTTTGGGAGTCCAAGGCAAGAGGATTGCTTGAGCCCAGAAGTTTGAGACCAGCCTATGCAACAGAGTGAGACCCCATCTCTACAAAAAATAAATTAAAAAATTAGCTGGGTGTTGTGGTGCAAGCCTGTAGTCCCAGCTACTAGGGAGGCTGAGGCAGGAGAATTGCTTGAACCCAGGAAGCGGAGACTGCAGTGAGCCAAGATCGCACCACTGCACTCCAGCCTGGGTGACAGTGCAAGACTCTGCCTTAAAAAAGAAAGAAAGAAAGAAAGAAAGAAACCAGGTAAAATAAAGGGAAAACTGTACCTTGGTGTAAAATTTTAATTCAAACAAGAACGCTGAAGATCATCACCCAGACCTATTCTGCACAGCAAAAGGACACAAAGACAAGTATACCCATCTGTACTTCTAATAAATATCTAGTCAATATATGACACCTCAACACAACTCATCCAACTATAATACATACCCCGTCACCTCTGATTCATGTTTACTCTCTCGATATCTAGGTCTTGTAAGACTCTCTTCCTGTTTTACGTGTAAGGTAATTCAGCTCAGTTAACTAAAGTCATGGCAACACCAACTATTAAGGCTGAGCAGGTGTTAAAGCTCTTCTAATCTTAATTCTCTCATTTTAAGACAGGGGGGTTATGTGTCTTGTCTAACACCCACGTCTGTCCCATATGGGCTGACAAGAAGGGCTTTCTTAAGCATAAGCAAACACAAAAGTGTCAGTGGCAAGACCAAAAGTGGAAATTTGAGTTCTGTACTCCCAGTGAAGTGTCTCTTGGCCCTTGCTATCTTCCTGATGACTTTTTAAATCAAAAAGCTTTTTTTTTACTTGTACCTTGTATAAGTAGGAAAATATTTATTTTGAATTGCTTTGACTGGCTTAAGATAGAATATTACAGGCTGAATAAAAATATACTGTAATATATAGACCACAATGAATGAAAATACACCATAATATACAACGTGGTCTGTGTATCACAGTGTATTTTTATTCAGCATGCTAAAACCTATAAAGGGATTTATTATGATCCCTTCTAGGTCACAGGGATCATAGATTTGGGTCATTCACCACTAGAGGGCACTCAGATTTTCCCAGTTAGTTTACAGAGGCTTCCAACTCCAGTGTACAAAAAGAATTTTATCAATACAGAGACATTTCCTATCAATAGTAACAAGTAAATAGCCATATCCCCAGAAATATTAAGTGAGTGCAAACATACTAGTTCTGGGCATTTATGTAAGTATATATATACATTTAAAAATATAAATTAGGCCCGGCACGGTGGCTCACACCTGTAATCCCAGAACTTTGGAAGGCCAAGGCAGGTGATCACCTGAGGTCAGGCATTTAAGACCAGCATTGCCAACATGGTGAAACCCAGTCTCTACAAAAAAAAAAAAAAAAAAAAAGTTAAAAAAATTAGCCGGGAGGCTGAGGCAGGAGAATCACTTCAACCCAGAAGGTGAAGGCTGCAGTGAGCTGCAAGCACGCCACTCCACTCTGGCCTGGGCAACAGAGTGAGACTATATATAGATATAGTATGTATATGTATGTAGGTGTATTTTATATATGTTTATAGATAATATATATATATATATAAATATGTGTAATATATAATATATATATTATATATAAAATACACCTACATACACATACATACACACACACACACACACGCACACACAAAATTTTTTTTCTTTTTTTTTTTTTTTGAGACAGAGTCTCACTCTGTCGCCCAGGCTGGAGTGCAGTGACATGGTCTCAGCTCACTGCAACCTCTGCCTCCTGGGTTCAAGCAATTGTCCTGTCTCAGCCTCCCAAGTAGCTAATATTACAGGCACCCACCACCACACCCAGCTAATTTTGTATTTTTAGTAGAGACAGGGTTTCACCATGTTGGCCAGGCTGGTCTTAAACTCCTGACCCTCAGGTGATCCGCCTGCCTCGGCCTCCCAAAATGCTGGGATGACAGGCATGAACCAATGCACCCAGCCTTAAAATTTTTTTTGGAGAGTGTCACTCTGTCACCCAGGCTGGAGTGCAGTGGCACGATCTCAGCTCACTGTAACCTCTGCTTCCTGGGTTGAAGGGATTCTTGTGCCTTAGCCTCCCAAGCAGCTGGGACCACAGATGCGTGCCACCATGCCTGGCTAACTTTTGCATTTTTTTTTTTTTTTTGAGACGGAGTTTCGCTCTTGTTACCCAGGCTGGAGTGCAATGGCGCAATCTCGGCTCACCGCAATCTCCGCCTCCTGGGCTCAGGCAATTCTCCTGCCTCAGCCTCCTGAGTAGCTGGGATTACAGGCACGCGCCACCATGCCCAGCTAATTTTTTTGTATTTTTAGTAGAGACGGGGTTTCACCATGTTGACCAGGATGGTCTCGATCTCTCGACCTCGTGATCCACCCGCCTCGGCCTCCCAAAGTGCTGGGATTACAGGCTTGAGCCACCGCGCCCGGCCAACTTTTGCATTTTTAGTAGAGATGGAATTTTGCCATGTTGGCCAGGCTGGTCTGGAACTCCTGATCTTACATGATCCACCTGCCTTGGCCTCCCAAAGTGTTTGAATTACAGGTATGAGCCACTGAGCCCATCTACATACACACATGCGCACACGTGCGCACACACACACATATATAATACACCTCTATACACATATACACACACATATATATAATTTTATATATATGTGTATATATATAATTATATATATATATATGTGTATGTATATATATATATAAATTAGACACTATGCCCAGAACTAGGTTTGCATCCACTTAATATTTTAATACTTCTGGCAAAATGTGAAAAATAGGTGTTTGTGCATGTACACACACATACATATACATGTATTATATATACATATAAATATATAATTCATATGTATTTGTTATATTCTAAGGATATTTTATATATATTACTAAACATTTGTTATAATTAATTTACTATTTTAGTAAATTAATTGATGTGTTCTTTTTCTTCTTCTTTTTTTTTTTTTTTTTTTTTTTGAGATGGAGTTTTGCTCGTTACCCAGGCTGGAGTGCAATGGCGCAATCTTGGCTCACCGCAACCTCCGCCTCCCGGGTTCAGGCAATTTTCCTGCCTCAGTCTCCTGAGTAGCTGGGATTACAGGCACGTGCCACCATGCCCAGCTAATTTTTTGTATTTTTAGTAGAGACGGGGTTTCACCATGTTGACCAGGATGGTCTCGATCTCTTGACCTTGTGATCCACCCGCCTTGGCGTCCCAAAGTGCTGGGATTACAGGCGTGAGCCACTGCGCCCGGCCCCCTGATGTGTTCTTAAAGGACTAAAGTGGTAGGTAGATTTTTGAAGTAAATAATTGGCTTAAAAGTTAACTTGCCTCCCAAACACTCACACAAAATCTAGAGGGCTCCTGCCAAAATCTGTGGGCCTGCAGTATTCTAAGTAAATCATGCTTGTTTTGAGGGTCCTTGGATATTGTGTTTTAAATGAGATAGAAGAAAAGGACAAACGGAGAACTTTCTCTGCTATCAAGGAAATGAATGCAAGCCAGGCAATTTCTTTAACCTTCCAGTTTATCAATACTGAAGGCCTTATCCAGTCACTAGGGCATTTCTAGAGATTTATACCTGGAACCCTAGAAATTCAGTTTCTGTAGGGGGACTAAACACTTTTTTGGCTGTGTTAAATTTTGAAAAAGCCTATTTTGTATGCTTAAAGGAAATTAAATTAATAAGCAATAGTTATTAACTGCTATGATAGCACTGTCCTGCCTGGAAAAAAAAAATCTTAAGAATCGTCTTGCTGGGTATGGTGGCTCATGCCTATAATCCCAGCACTTTGGGAGGCCAAGGTGGGTGGATCACCTGAGGTCAGGAGTTTGATACCAGCCCAGCCAACATTATGATATCTCATCTCTACTACAAATACAAAAATTAGCTAGGTGTGGTAGCAGGTGCCTGTAATCCCAGCCACTTGGGAGGCTGAGGCAGGAGAATCGCTTGAACTCAGGAGGCGGAGGTTGCAGTAAGCCGAGATCTCACCATTGCACTCCAGCCTGGGCAACAAGAGCGAAACTCCACCACACACACACACACAAATCATCTTGTTGAAGAAGGGTGATAAGGTGGGGGAGGCATTCTGCAGAACACCTGTACCTCCAGCTGTCTGGTCATGGTTGTTGGTAATGAACACTCTGGATTCTGCTGAACAGTTTTCCTGCCCCACAGCACTTACCTCATAAGTACTAGAATGTGCTTGCCAAGTACTGTGGAAAACGGTATTGTAAAAGGATACATCTAATTCACTCTGAAAAAGAGAAAAGGAGTGCAAGGGTGAGAACAAAGATACTGTGATCCGTTGCTCTTAGCAGAGTCAGAATGAGGAGACTTCTGCGTCCATAGCAGTGACATCTCCTACCTGCTTCTTGGCTTGGAGGCCACAGCAGTCTGACTCTGCAAAGGCCCCGAGTTTGGGACTGTAATTTTTTTGAAATTGGCTGTAGTTCAAAGGAATTTTACAAGCCAGTACGATTCATCTTTAGAAAGTAGAGAGAAAAATAAACTAACTTAATCTTTACAGATATAGGTAATTTGATGTGTAAATCTGAGACCTTAACAATGTGCCACACCCTTTCAACCCACTGATGTTACTTCTGGGAGTTTATCCTAATGAAAAAATTAGACAATGGCACAATGATATACGACAGGATATTCAGGGTAATGGTGTTTGTAATAGCAAATTATTGATAATAACCTAAGTATCTATCAAAGGGCATATCCACAAATGACGATGTAGACATATAAGTACTCACATATTGTTAAATAAAAAAGCAAGTTATAAAATGCATACATAGTATTATCCTTTTTTTTTTTTTTTTTTTTTTTTTTTTGGAGGCAGAGTCTTGTTCTGTTGCCAGGCACCAGGCTGGGGTGCAGTGGAGTGATCCCGGCTTACTTCAACCTCTGCCTCCAGGGTTCAAGCAATTCTCCTACCTCAGCCTCCCCAGTAGCTGAGACTACAGGTATGTACTACCACACCCAGCTAATTTTTGTATTTTTTAGTAGAGACGGGGTTTCACCATGTTGACCAGGTTGGTCTCAATCTCTCGACCTTGTGATCCACCCACCTAGGCCTCCCAAAGTGCTGGGATTACAGGCTTGAGCCACCGCGCCCGGCGGTCTTGATCTCTTGAACTTGTGATCCGCCCGCCTCAGCCTCCCAAATTGCTGGGATTACAGGCGTGAGCCACTGCGCCCGGCCATAGTATTACCCTATATATGTATGTATAAAGGTCAAGATACATATGATTATATAGCTACAAACAGACACAGAAAGTCTAAAAGGAAATGTACCTAACAGCAGTTAGCAGTAACTGATGAGCTTACTGATGATTCTCTCACTTAAAAATTTTTATTTTATTTATTTATTTTGAGACAGTCTAATTATTTTGAGACAGTCTGTCACCCAAGCTGGAGTGCAGCGGCATGATCTTGGTTCACTGCAACCTCCGCTTCCTGGGTTCAAGCGATCCTCCCACCTCTGCCTCCCAAGTATCTGGGACTAGAGGTATGCATTACCACACCCAGCTAATTTTTGTATTTTTTTGTAGAGACAAGGTTTTGCCATGTTGTCCAGGCTGGTCTTGAATTCCTGAGCTCAAGCGATCCACCTGCCTTGGCCTCCCAAAGTATGGGATTACAGGTGTGAGCCATCATCCCTGGCCAAAAAATACATTACTTTCTTTAGAGCAGTTTTAGGTTGACAGCAAAACTGAGGGGGAGATATGCAGACATCCCATGCCCTCTGCCTCTCTGAGTGTGCAGCCTTCCTCCCATGGTCAGCATCCCCCACCACAGTGGTACATTTGTTAAAATGGACAAACCTGTATCATTCTCACCCAAAGCCCACAGTTTACAATAGGGTTCACTCTATTAGGGTGTTGTATATTATATGGGTTTAGACAAATGTATAATTACATGTATTCACTTTCCTCTTTCTCTTTGTGCATATATAATATATATATATATATATATATATATATATATATATATATATATATATATATGGAGAGAGAGAGAGAGAGAGAGAGAGAGAGAGAGAGAGAGTCTCACTCTTTCGCCAGGCACCAGGCTGGACTGCAGTGGCAAGATCTCGGCTCACTGCAACCTCCACCTCCCAGCTTCAAGCAATTCTTCTGCCTCAGCCTCTCGAGTAGCTAGGACTACAGCCACCACACCCAGCTAACTTTCTTTGTATTTTAGTAGAGATGGGGTTTCACAATGTTGGCCAGGATGGTCCCAATCTCTTGACCTGTGATCTGCCCACCTTGGCCTCCCAAAGTGCTGGGATTACAGGCGTGAGCCACAGCGCCCGGCCTGCTTATGTGTTTTTTTTTTTTTTTTTTTTTTTTTTTTTTTTTTTGAGACGGAGTTTTGCTCTCGTTACCCAGGCTGGAGTGCAATGGCACGATCTCGGCTCACTGCAACCTCCGCCTCCTGGGTTCAGGCAATTCTCCTGCCTCAGCCTCCTGAGTAGCTGGGATTACAGGCATGCGCCACCACGCCCAGCTAATTTTTTGTATTTTTAGTAGAGACGGGGTTTCACCATGTTGACCAGGATGGTCTCGATCTCTTGACCTCGTGATCCACCCGCCTCGGCCTCCCAAAGTGCTGGGATTACAGGCTTGAGCCACCGCGCCCGGCCTGCTTATGTGTTTTAAAATTTTTTTAATAAAATAGATATTTATGTAATGAAAAAAGCATGGAGGAAGAAAAAAGTAGAGAATTAATTTAAAATATGAAAGGACTTAAGGTTTGTCAAATCAGCACTAAAAAATCCCTGATACCACTTCTTCAACAGCAGCAACCCTCACCTCTGGCAAAGCCGCCTCCTTTGAAGCTAACTGGATTGGATTTTTGTTTTAAAAATGTAATGCTGAGATGCTTCTCTCAGCCCCAGACAGCATGAGACTGATCTCCAAATTTAAGATTTGGAAATTCTGGAAGAGTAAAAATAGCCACAGAAAGAATGTTTAAAACTCACAAACCTAAAAATAAATCTAGATGACAAGGCCTTCTCTGTGAGGGGACAGATCCTATTTCTTTCCTGTAGTGTTCTTTTTCCTCTTCCTTTTCTTCTTTTTGTGATGGTTTGATCCTAAGCCAAGTCATTCCTTGGTACCATCCAAGTCCTGCATAATCACCTGGCTGAAATTAAATTCAAATCTTTACTTCTGTGGTTTATGTGGTCACTGACTCTCCCTAAAATTATACCTATAATTCAGCAATGTGCTATTTATTCTCAGTTACTGAATATAATAATAATAATTGTAAAAACCTTAGCAATGATAGTACTTGTACCCACTTTTATTCTCCTAGGTTTAGAACATTATTATTTTGGGAAATTATATTATTCTTCAAGGGTGTCACCTTGAAATGGCTAATCATGGTCAGCTCTGATCACAGAGCAACCAGTCCGTCTAAACAAGAGAGGTGTCATCACAAGATAAGCAGAAGCTAGAGCTACACTGTCCAATATGGTAAACACCAGCCTCATGTGGAGATTTGTATTACGTAAATTTAAAACTTCATTTCCTCAGGTATACTAACTGCATTTCAAGTGCTCAAGAGCCACAACTGGCTAATGCCTACTGTACTGGATGGCACAGGTACAGAACATTCCTATCTCTGCAGAAAGTTTTACTGAACAGTGCTGGTCTATGGTGTTGTTGCCAAGCAATCGGGATACATGTGATATTTTAAAGCCCATCTCTATGTCCTCTGTGTAGGCCGGTCTTTGGAATAAAACCCTATCATTTGCAGAAACATGTATGGAACTGAAGGTCATTATGTTAAGTGAAATAAGCCAGGCATAGAAAGACTAATATCACATGTTCTCATTCATGTGGAAACTAAAAAAGTAGATCTCATGAAGATAGACAGTAAATTGGTGGTCACCAAAAGCTGGGAAAGGAAGAGGGAAAGAAGAAATGAAGAGAGGTAGATTAATGGGTACAAATATGGAATTAGATAGAAGAAATAAGACCTAGTATTTGATAAATCAGTAGGGTGACTATGGTTAACAATAATCTATTGTATATTTCAAAATAGCTAAGAGAATAATTCAAATGTTCCTAGCATAAAGAAAATACAAATATTCAGCCAGGCACGGTGACTCATGCCTGTAATTGCAGCACTTTGGGAGGCCGAGGCGGGTGGATCACCTGAGGTCAGGAGTTCAAGACCAACCTGGCAAACAAGGTGAAACCTCGTCTATATAAAAATTAGCCAGGTGTGGGGGCATGAGCCTGTAATCCCAGCTATTTGGGAGGCCGAGGTGTGAGAATTGCTTGAACCCAGGAGGCAGAGGTTGCAGTGAGCCGAGATCGTGCCTTTGCACTCCAGCCTGGGCAACAGAGTGAGACTATGTCTCAAAAAAAAAAAAAAAAGTCAGAAATATAAATATTTAAGGTGATGGAGATCCTAATTATCCTGATTTGGTTTATACATTATATGAATGTATGGAATTATCACATGTATCCTGAAAATATCTACATCTTTTATGTATCAATATAAAAAATAAAAATAAAAAACTTACTAAGAAAAAAAGAAAGACCAGTGGGTAGAGGGGGATAATGAGGGGGAAATGCTAACGGGTATGATGTTTCTTTGTCAGGTGATGAAATTTCCTAAAATCCTCCCACTTCATCCTCCTACCTGGCACTACAGGTGCTTGCCACCATAGCCAGCTTAATTATACACTTTAAATGGGTGAACTGTATTATACATAAAATATATTTCAATACAGCTATTAAAATGGCTTTAAAAAAGACTTTTGAAAAAGAGCTCACATATTTCCTTAAGGGTTTGGATGGAAATGTTTCTTGAGGTGAAAAGGGTACTGGTGTCTTAGGAAAGAAAGCAGAAAGAAGAAAAGAGACGGCAAATTAGATCGCAAAAGCTCCTAACTGGGAGAAAAATAAACGAGGGTTTTTATTCTGGCTCTTTATAAAGATCGCAGGCGTATATAGGCTTGTAACACTTTGGATAAACCAGAAGGAAAGATAAAGAAAATTTGGCATAATTTAAATTTTAACTTTTACTTATTAATACTCTGTACACACACACACACACACACACACACACACACACACACACACACACACACTTTTTTTTTTTTGGTGATGGAGTTGCCCAGGCTGGAGGGCAATGGCATGATCCTAGCTCACTGCAACCTCCGCCTCCTGAGTTCAAGTGATTTTCCTGCCTCAGCCTCCCCAAGTAACTGGGACTACAGGTGTGTGTCACCATGTCCAGCTAATTTTTTTTTTTGTATTTTTAGTACAGACAAGGTTTCACCATGTTGGCCAGGCTGGTCTTGAACTCTTGATCTCAGGTGATCAATGTGCCTCAGCCTCTCAAAGTGCTGGGATTACAGGCATGCCTGGTCTTAACACATGTTCTTGATATAGATCCAAAGAGACTCAATTTCTCGGAAACTGGGTTGAGGAAGTAAACCATTTTTTAGCTATTAGACTTACCACTCGGCTGAAATACTCATCTAAAACTTCCACAAAGTTATGAATGAATTCATAAATAGCCATCTCGTTCTGAAATAAAAGAAATAAGGTACAATCAATTTTAGTGTGGCCCTCATGTAAATCAGACATAGAACTTCCCAGTCAGCTTCCAGGTTTTAGAGCATGTGGCTTAGTGAACTGATAATGTGAGGAAAGCAGACTCCACTGATAAATATTCAGAACCACTCTATCACTCCTTTAAAAAATGCTTATCAATCAGGGAAATGTACATAAACCTTTATCAATAGGAGAAATGTAGATAAGCCTTAACCTTTAGGATTTTTTTTTTTTTTTTTTTGCCAGGTGTGGTGGCTCATATCTATAATCTAGCACTTCGGGAGGCCAAAGTAAGAGAACGGCTTAGGGCCAGGAGTTTAAGACCAGCCTCGGCAATATAGTGAGACTCAGTCTCCACGAAAAATTTAAAAACTAGCCAGGTGTGGTAGTGTGTGCCTGTAAGTCTCAGCTACTCAGGAGGCTGAGGCAGGAAGATGGTTTGAGCCCAGGAGTTCAAGGTTGCAGTGAGCTATGATGGCCCCACTATACTCCAGCCTGGGAAACAGAGTGAGCCTGGAAACTGAGAGTGGTGGCTCACAATTGTCATCGCCACCACTTTGGGAGGCCGAGGTGGAAGGATCACTTGAGCCCAGGAGTTCAAGATGAGCCTGGGCAACATAATGAGACCTCTTCACTACAAAAAAAATTAAAAATAGGCCAGGCACAGTGGCTCATGCCTGTAATATTAGCACTTTGGGATGCCAAGGTGGGCAGACCACTTGAGGTCAGGCGTTCAAGACCAGCCTAGCCAACATAACCTCATCTCTACTAAAAATGCAAAAATTAGCTAGGCATGGTGGCATGTACTTGTAATCCCAGCTACTAGGAGGCTGAGACAGGAGGATTGCTTGAACCCGGGAGGATCACTTGAACCTGGGAGGCTGAGATTGCAGTGAGCCAAGATTGTGCCACTGCACGCCAGCCTGGGTGACATAGTGGGACTCTGTCTCAAAAATAAATAAATAAAATAAAAACATAAATAAAAGTAAAAATAGCCAGGTATGTTGGTGCATGCCTGTAGTCTCAGGTAGTCGGGATCGTGAGGCTGAGGTGGAAGGATCACTTCAGACCAGGAGGTCAAGGCTGCAGTGAGACCTGAAGGCACCACTGCATTCTAGCCTGGGTGACAGCCTGTCTTAAAAAAAAAATTAAAGAAATATGTATTTTTAAGTCCATGATGCATCTAGCCAGATTAAAATCTTAGTGTCTAGTATTTAGAGTTCTTAGCGACGTTTCCTGACTTTACCACAAATTGGCTGAAGCAATTTTTCAGATTCTTCATGCCATCATTTTTCTATCTATGAAGATGGGGAAACCACTTCAAAGTTTGGTTCGTGGATAAAAACAATGAACCAGTATTTCAGTTAGATCTAAAACATCCTTTGAGGTATTCCACGGTCATAAGTGCTATTGATCAGGGACTGGCATTTGTGAAATAAATCTGAGGAGACGTAATTACAATACAATCATCTTTATAGTTTTCTCTGGCTTTTGATATGTCAGCCCATGTTTAATGCCAAAATCAGTTGGCCCCTATACTTATCTGAGCTGTTTCATTGTGCAAGAGAACAAGGGCAGGGCACTGGTATTGCTTAGGACAGGAGAAGGCATTCTGTGTTTTGGGGATTCTCTATTTTGTAAGCTGCTCATATAATCCAAGAAATATCCCAGATATTTCTCTTCCACACAGCTTTCCCCATCCTTGCTAGAAACCAAGATCCGCTGGGCATGGTGGCTTACGCCTGTAATCCCAGGACTTTGGGAGGCCAAGGCAGGCAGATCATCTGAGGTCGGGTGTTTGAGACCAGTCTGATCAACACGGAGAAACCCTGTCTCTACTGAAAATGTAAAATTAGCTGGTTGTGGTGGCGTGTGCCTATAATCCCAGCTACTCCAGAGTCTGAGGCAGGAGAATCGTTTGAACCCAGGAGGCAGAAGTTGCAGTGAGCTGAGATGACGCCATTGCAAGCCAGCCAGGGCAATAAGAGCGAAACTCTGTCTCAAAAAGAAAAGAAAAGAAAAGAAACCAAGATCCTAGCCAGGCACAGTGGCTTGTGACTGTATTCCCAGCTACTTGGGAGGCTAAGCCAGAAAGATTGCTTGAAGTCAGTTCTAGACCAACCTGAGCAACACAGTGAGACCACATCTCTAAAAAAAATAAAAGGAAAAAATTAGCTGGGCTTGAAAGTGTCAGCCTGTAGTCCCAGCCCAGCTAGTCAGGAGGCTGAGATGGGAAGACTGCTTGAACCCAGGAATTCAAGGTTGCAGTGAGCTATGACTGTGCCATTGCACTCCAGCCTGTCTCTTGGGGAAAAAAAAAAAAAAATCAAGAGAGTCATAATTCTTAAGGAGGCAAATAGAAATTCTTGCATTTTCCAAGGACTGTTCTGTTACCTTACCTCAGTGTCATTAACTCCAACCACAATGAAGAGAGCTGCATACTGCCGATATATCAGCTTAAAATCTTTATATTCAATGAAAGAGCACTAGACAAAACACAATATCAATTACTATGGTTGAGAGAGAGTTCTTTAAAATGTCATGCACAAGTTCTAGGTTCTGATTTGAGTATCTGACAAACATTCCTAGAAATATAGAACATTAAGATGTGACACAACCATTGATGGCCTTCTCACAACATTCAGGGGACCACTTGGAAGCACTTCTAGCGGGAACTGGAGAAGTCCTGGAAAAAAGTCTGAGTGTTCAAATGGGTTCCAACTTGTACTCCTTCTCATTCCTTTGCCTGGCTCTGTGTAGAGCTCAGCAGGCAAAGATAATTAATAATCAGCATTTTAAAGCTCCTCTGAAGCAAAACTAAGCAAATATTAATAAAGAAGATTTTCTTCTGCTCACTTCCTCAAGACTTTTTTGGAAGCAATTAGATATTCTCAGTTTTGTACTACTTAATAGTCATTGAGGAGCCAAATACACAGTGTAAACAAACAAACAAAAATTGTTTGCTTTTCCCTAGGCCCATGAAAAGAACCCATGTAGATTATTTTATATATTATTTAAAGATGCCCTTTTTGTGGCAGACACTAGACAAAAATCTCCCATTGTAAACCTTGCTTCATATGAATTAGTAACTAGCCTACCACCACTGACACATGGATAAAACTCCCTTCTCATTCATTCCTTTTTTTTCTTTTATTTATTTTTATATAATTGAGACGGGATTTTACCATGTTGGTCCGGATGGTCTTGAACTCCTGACCTCAAGCAATCCACCCGCCTCAGCCTCCCAAAGTGCTGGGATTACAGGTGTGAGCCACTGCGCCTGGCCTCATTCATCCCTTCCCTATAGCCTTTGTACAAAGAGCTACAGGAAGGCGCTGAGTGGATGTGAGGTGGAAAGCGGGCAGAAGCACAGGGTTATTCTTCTTCTGGACTTCAGGGTGTGCTTGACCAAATGTGATCGAATATGAACTTTATGGCTTTATGTATCAGGATGTGGTGCTCTTGGGTGCCCAGATGCACCTGGGAATGAAGCTGCAAGTTTTGGTCATGGAAATTCCTCTATGGGAAAGCCATCTGACAGTCTACAAAATGGAAGAATTCAGGCTTTTATTTAAAATTAGGATAAAGGTAAAGAGTACAGAAGCATTCTGTAGCTTTGGGCTCTCTGTAGAGCCAGGGTGATCTCTGCTCAGCTGGATCTTTCAAGGAAAAACAATCTATTTGAAATTTTCTTTAAATTTTTTTTTTTTAGTAGAGATGGGGTTTAACCATGTTGGCCAGGCTCGTCTTGAACTCCTGACCTCTGGTGATCCACCTGCCTTGGCCCCCCAAAGTGCTGGAATTACAGGTGTGATCCACCATGCCTGGCCTTAACCTCCATTTTGGAAGATGGATAGATACGTTGTTTCATATGAATTTTTAATTTCCATTTTCCCCACCTATATAATAAAAGAAGTTAAAATCAAATTTGTTTTTTTTTTTAAATCACTGGCTTCGGCCGGGCGTGGTGGCTCACGCCTGTAATCCAAGCACTTTGGAGGCCAAGGTGGGCAGATCACCTGAGGTCAGGAGTTCAAGACCAGCCTGACCAACATGGTGAAACCCCGTCTTAAAAAAATAAATAATAAAAATAAATAAAATCACTGGCTTCAGTATTATATTGGTGGTATATTTACAAAAATAATAAGCAGAATAAAACCATCCCATTTGAGATTATTATCCTCTGGCACAAAATGGATCTTCAGTATTCACCTCTATACCAATCATCTGACACCTTTATTTTTTGGCTTATAGAAAGCCAGCTGCTACAGGCACTCATCAGAGTTCCGAGGGCTGAATTAATATGAACAAAAACAGAAGTTCATTAGCAGAAGGAAATTTTCTTGTCATTTCTGAGGTGCACTGAGACAAGTATACTAACTTAAATAAGAACCCAAGATTCTTTCAGGTTTTCCTTATTTTTATTTTCTTTTTTTTTTTTTTTTTTGAGATGGAGTTTCGCTCTTGTTACCCAGGCTGGAGTGCAATGGCACGATCTCGGCTCACCGCAACCTCCGCCTCCTGGGTTCAGGCAATTCTCCTGCCTCAGCCTCCCGAGTAGCTGGGATTACAGGCACACGCCACCACGCCCAACTAATTTTTTGTATTTTTAGTAGAGACGGGGTTTAACTATGTTGACCAGGATGGTCTTGATCTCTTGACCTCGTGATCCACCCGCCTCGGCCTCCCAAAGTGCTGGGATTACAGGCTTGAGCCACCGCGCCCGGCTTATTTTCTTAAATGGATGTAAAGAGAGCTACGCGGATCAGTAGCTGCTACACCGGAAAGATGGCAGAGCAAGAGCAAAGAAAAATCCCTTTGGTTCCAGAAAATCTCCTGAAAAAGAGGAAAGCTTATCAAGCCCTCAAAGCCACTCAGGCAAAGTAGGCACTTTTGGCAAAGAAGGAGCAGAGGAAAGGAAAAGCACCCAGGTTTAAACGATTGGAATCATTCCTGCATGATTCCTGGCGGCAGACACGTGACAAGGTGCCCGTCAGACGACTAGAAGTCAAGCCTCACGCCTTGGAACTGCCAGATAAACATTATTTGGCCTTTGTTGTACGCGTCGAAAGGATTGATGGTGTCCGTTTACTGGTGCAGAGAACCACTGCAAGACTTCGCCTAAAGAAAATTTTTAGTGGTGTCTTTGTAAAAGTTACTCCCCAGAACCTAAAAATGCTGGGTATAGTGGAACCTTATGTGACCTGGGGATTTCCAAGCCAGGGTCAAGAATAAGACCATCCATCCCTCTGACAGACAACATTGTGATTGAGGAGGACCTGGGGAAGTCTGGTGTCATTTGCTTGGAAAACCTCATTCATGAAATTGCCTTCCTGGGGAAGCATTTCCAGGAGATCTCATGGTTCTTGCGCCCTTTCCACCTCTCAGTGGCCCGTAATGCTACCAAAAATAGAGTGGGCTTCCTCAAGGAGATGGGCACACCTGGCTATCGGGGTGAATGCATCAATCAGCTCATCCGCCAGCTGAACTAGAACTAGGTGCCAAACTGCAATAAATTTTTATCAATGAAGTGGAAGCATGTGTTTTTGGGTTTGGAGAATTTGTTACAAGTATCTTCAGAGAAGATTATTTCCTGCTTTATCTTTAAAACTGGAAAGGAAGGGTCAAAGAAAAGACAGTAGCTGGTCAGGCCGGTGGCTCATGTCTGTAATCCCAGTACTTCCTCCTGCTGAGGAGGGCAAATCACCTAAGGTCAGGAGTTCGAGACCAGCCTGACCAACATGGCGAAACCCTGTCTCTACTGAAAATACAAAAATTAGCGGGCATGGTGGCCCATGCCTGTAATCCCAGCTACTCGGGAGGCTGAGGCGGGAGAATCGCTTGAACCCGGGAGGCAGAGGTTGCTGTGAGCCAAGATCGCACCATTGCACTCTAGCCTAGGCAATGAGCGAAACTCTGTCTCAAAAGAAAAAAGAAAAGAAAAAAACAGTAGCTTATGTTCATGGCAAGCACCTCTTATCACAGTCCAGTTCCAAGGAAGAATTCCAGCGTGTTCTACATTGGCTGCTGCCTCGTCTGAAATCAGCACATTCCATGGTGGAAGGAGTTCTGCTTTGCTGCACCTCTTATCCTAGGGTTTAATGTTGGTAATCGAGTAACTCTACCATTTGTACAAGGCTCTCTAAGACTCCTGCAGCAGTGGACAGGCCCAGGGACATAATTGAATCTGGTGATTCCTGGGGCCTTGTGAGAAAGACTTGAAATACACATAAGAGGAAAGGTACAAAAATAAATGTTTACTTGTCTCTAAAAAAAAAAAAAAAGCTATGCTTATTTTAGTTTTCATTTCACATCACTTCTTATTTCCTGTAGAAGCTGTTGAACGAATATAGCTCAAAGAAAATGATGGCCTCTGAGACTCAAAGAAAATGATGGCCTCTGAGACTAATAACCAATCTGCAAGGCCGAGCTGAATGCAGAGATAAAAGAGAGGACCAGGGACTTACTTGCTCATTGGATCGAGAGAGACAGCTCTTTATGACTTCTGTTTCCAGAAGCGTACGCTTATTAACATCCACATGTTCATAGTACTTAGAAAGTCGCGTCTGCCCTTGTTTATTCACCATGAGGAAAAATTTTATCATTTTTCTTTCTTGGCCAGTATTTTTCCAAATATAGTTCAAAAGTTATATAAGGGATGGTTGTAATTGGAACCTTGAAGACAAAACAAAACAAAACAGAAAGGCAAGATCAAATTTCTCAAAGAATTATATTAAATCTGTTTTATAGATAAACAGTAAATAAAGTAGTAGTAAATATCATCTGATAATATCACACTTCATTCCTATGAATTGAGGTTTTAATAAATAAAAAACATTTTCATCAGGTATCCTCTAAAACAAATTTTTTTTTTAGTTTTTTATTTATTCCCTCTAAAACAATTATGAGCAACTGCAGTACTTCCATTTATATTCATTCAATTTACTCATCGTTTTTCTGGGTAAAAAAGATGTGTCAAGCACCAGAAGAATATGGAAATGAGGTAGTAAGGATTTCTGATCTGATTTTTACACCTAGCAAAGGTGCTAGGTAGGTAAACAACAGCAGTACAAGGTGACGAGTGATAACTGAGACAGGTTCGCTTCCATGGGTGTAGAGGAGGGACAAGGATTGTCACAGGAGAGTGAAGAACTGCTTCTCAGAGAAGGGACACTGGTGTGAGGTCCTGAAGAATGAGTTACAGAAGACTGAGGCAAAGAAAACGAGTATGAAAGCTCTGGAAAGTTCACTGGGGCTGCAGTTTAGGGCGTGGGAAGAATAGTTAGCAGGAAATTAAGCTACTCGAATATGATATAATTGGCTTTAGAAGTCATGCTAAGGAATCTGAGCTTTATTTTATGGGCAATGGAGACAAGATCTATAGTAAAGCTTTTCTGTCCTTAGTGGTGGAAATAATTGTAGTAATATCAATTTGTCAAATTCCTGCAGGCCCTATAACAAGCTCCGTGAGGTTCTATGCTGAGCAATTCTCACAACTGTTTGAGGCAGGTACTTTTTATCCTTATTTTATTTTTGAGACAGGGCCTCATTCTGTCACCCAGGCTGGAGTGCAGCAGAGCAATCTCAGCTTACTGCAACTTCTGCCTCTGGACTCAAGTGATCCTCCCATCTCAGCCTCCTGAATAGCTAGGATTATAGGCATGCACCATCATGCACAGCTAATTTTTTAACTTTTTGTAGATATGAGGTTTCACTATATTTTCTAGGCTGGTCTTGAACCCTTAGGCTCAAGTCTTCCTCCTGCGTTGGACTCCTAAAGTGTTGGGATTATGGGCATGAGCTACTGTATCCAGCCTGTTATCCTTATTTTAAGGTCAAGCAGATTAAAGTTTAGAAATAAGACACCTAGCCGGGCGTGGTGGCTCACACCTGTAATGCCAGCACTTTGGGAGGCTGAGGCAGGCGGATCTCTTGAGCTCAGGAGTTTGAGACCAGCCTGAACAACAAAGTGAGACCCCGTCACTACAAAAAATATAAAAATTAGCCAGGCATGGAGGCGTGCGCCTGTGGTCCCAGCTACTCAGGAGGCTGAGGCAGGAAAATCGCTTGAACCCCAGAGGCGGAGGTTGCAGTGAACCGAGATGGCACCACTGCACTACAATTAAGGCAGGAGAATCGCTAGAGCTGGGGAGGTGGAGGTTGTAGTGAGTGGAGATTGTGCCATTGCACTCCAGCCTGGGCAACAGAGCAAGACTCTGTCTCAAAAAAAAAAAAAAGAAAGAAAGAAAGAAAGAAAAGAAATAAGACACCCAGAGTCACTCCATGACTTTGTGTCAGAGGTGGACTGCGGTTCAAAGGCTAAGCACACACATGGTCCATGACACCCCTAACTTATCCTCATCATTCAGGGTTCATGCTTGTGCTGTTATGTCTAACTCAATTGTATTGAACCTTGTGTTTGTTTCTCTTAAACTCAACAAAGATTTTGGAAAAATCAATCCAAGTGAGCATAATATTAACCAATGGCCAGTCCTTCTTTCATCATGACCACCAGAGCTGGCTGGTTTGGCTCAGCAGACAATATTGTATTCACGTTTTGTAACACCTGTGAGAATTAGTGCAAAAAACCAAGATGAACGATAGTTCTTAAATGAACTTTAACATTTGAAATTTTAGATTTATAGTAAAGTTGCAAAGATGGCCATTGTTAGCTCCTCACATTACCATGATACATTTGACAAAACTAAGAAATCAATATTGGTGCGTTATTATTAACTCCAGACTTTATTTGGAGTTCATTAATTTTTCCATTAATGTCCTCTTTTTGTTCCTGTATCCCATCCAGGATACTATAGTACATTTAATAGTCATGTTGCTTTAGTCTGTTCTGGTCTGTGACAGTTTCTCAGTCTTCCTTGTTTTTCATGACCTTGACAGTCCAGGCTGGAGTACAGTGGTACAATCATGGCTCACTACAGCCTTGAACTCCTAGGCTCAAGTGATCCTCTAGCCTCAGTCTCCCAAGTAGCTAGGAGTAGCTGGGACTAAAAGTACATGTCACCATGCCCAGCTAATTTTTATTTTTATTTTTGAGATGGAGTCTCACTGTGTCACCCAGGCTGGAGTACAATGACATGATCTCAGCTCACTGCAACCTCTGCCTCCCAGGTTCAACCAATTCTTCTGCCTCAACCTCTCAAGTAGCTGAGATTACAGGTGACTGCTTGTGGACAGATCACCTGAGGTCAGGAGTTCCAGATCAACCTGGCCAACATGGTGAAACTCCACTGTCTACTAAAAATACCAAAATTAGGCCGGGTGCAGTGGCTAACACTTGTAATCCTAGCACTTTGGGAGGCTGAGGAGGGCAGATCATTTGAAGTCAGAAATTCAAGACCAGACTGGCCAACATGGCAAAATTCCAACTCTACTAAAAACACAACAAAATTAGCTGGGTGTGGTGTGGTGGCATGCAGCTGTAGTCCTAGTTATGTGGGAGGCTGAGGCAGGAGAATCACTTGAACCTGGGAGGCAGAGGTTGCAGTGAGTTGAGATCACACCACGGCACCCTAGCCTGAGAGACAGAATGAGACTCTGTCTCAAAACAAACAAACAAACAAACAAACAAACAAACAAAAACCAGTAATTATCCAGGTGTTGTGTTGAGCACCTGTAGTCCCAGCTACTCAGGAGGCTGAGGCAGGAGAATCGTTTGAACCTGGGAGGCAGAGGTTGAAGTGAGCCGAGATTGTGCCACTGCACTCCAGCCTGGGTGAAAGAGGGAGACTGTATCAAAAAAAAAAAAAAAAAAAAGCCGGGCGCGGTGGCTCAAGCCTGTAATCCCAGCACTTTGGGAGGCTGAGGCGGGTGGATCACGAGGTCAAGAGATCGAGACCATCCTGGTCAATATGGTGAAACCCCGTCTCTACTAAAGATACAAAAAAATTAGCTGGGCATGGTGGCACGTGCCTGTAATCCCAGCTACTCAGGAGGCTGAGGCAGGAGAATTGCTTGAACCCAGGAGGCGGAGGTTGCGGTGAGCCGAGATCGCGCCATTGCACTCCAGCCTGGGTAACAAGAGCGAAACTCCATCTCAAAAAAAAAAAAAAAAAAAAAAAAAAAAAAAAAAAAGTGGAGTCAAGACTCTCCTTTATGATTCTCCCTATTTCACTAGATGCCTGAATGTCCTTTATTCACGTGTCATCCCATGTACCTAGTGAAATAAGCAGACTGTATGGAAGAATAGGACCTTGGTCGAATGAGTGGTTCTTGGACTAATTAGAATCCTACCGAAATAGAGGCTGGGCCACACCATGATAGAGGGTGGGTCGCACTGTGCACTGAGCTAAGCAGCTAAGGCAAGCTGGAAACCAGCAAGTATTTTTCTTTGGGGATATTGCTTGCTTGAGGAGATAGGAGAATGCACTGCTTAAAAACTCAGACTTGAGTAAGACAGACCTGGCTCAAGTCTTGGCTTTGCCACATACCTGCCATGTGACTCTTAAGTTGCTTGCTTCTGAACTCCAGGGGGATGGCTACCTCTGAGATGTGAGAATGCGATAAGGTAACACAAACAGCACTTAGCAAAGGGGCTGGTCTACAGTGAATGTTCACTTTACAACTGAGCTGTTTTCATTACAGTCATCTCTTGGCATGCAGGGTACTGGTTCCGGGACTGCCCTGAGTACAACCAAATCTGTGCATACTCAAGTCCTGCAGTAGGCCCTGTGGAACCTACATACACAGAAAGTCAGCCCCCCATATACTGGGGTTTTGCATGCCACAAACACTGTATTTTCCATCTGTGTTTGGTTGGGAAAAACAGCTGCATATAAATGGATCTGTGCAGTTCTAACCTGTGTTGTTCAAGGGTCAACTGTATTATTTCCTTGCTGCAACTGGAAACAACATTATGGTATAATACTTGGACTAAGTTTTATATATATATATTTTTGTCTTCCCAGCTCATCTCATTTCCTAAGCCCTATCAGACAGGTGGTTATCTTACAGCAATTCTAAACTCTTAAGCCGTAAAGAGCCAGCCCCAGTGTGGCCAAGCCTGGGGTTGCTGTGTCCATTCCCTGTGCAGAACAGGATGTTATTTAGACCAGCTCAACTGGGGATATAACAGCTGTGCCACGAGGGAGGCCTGTGGCCATTCACTCCCTTTTCCAGGAAGATAAGCTCATGGCTGTGGGTGGGATTGCAACATACTCTGTGGTGTTTAATCATTTGGTATCATGTGCTGCTTTTGTTTGCCTCACAAATTATTGTCAGTAAATTATGGCAGGTTACCAGGAAGTTAAGATTACCATCCTTTCTTTTACTCCCTTTCAGCAAAGTTATTTAAAAACAATCTTTATGATAGTTAGAAATTACAATCCTATACCTTGGATTTCAACTGCCAGGTAAAAGGAAAAAAATGTCTCTAAGGTACTCATGGCCAAACCTTTGCCTTTAAATGTCCTGCTTGCATTAAGTGGTAAAATGAGACGTAAGAAGATCTCACTGAGGTGTTACATCAAGGGATCAAATTGGTTTCTACCTTACAAGCACAGCATTCCTTACCACTGACTTCAAGAGCAAGGATGACAAATAAGGACATGTTGAATTGATACTCATTAGGATGTAAGTTTTGAAAAGAGTAAATGAAGGCTTCTAAAGACTTGGATACATCTTTTTTTTCTTGCATGCTCTTAAACATTTGACAGTTT